ACATCTTTTTTTTTTTTTTTTTTTTTAAAAGATCTCCAATAAATTTCATACTTATTGGTAAATTGTTGTCTTAGATTTCCAGTATTCTTCTGTAAAAAAAAAAAAAAAAAAAGAGAGAGAAGAAGAAAAGGGAAGTTTTATTCACATGACTAACTTTAGTGATTTCTCTATTTGCCAAAGCACTTGAATCCAGTTGTAATTCTTTGTATATCACAAATTTCTGTTTTTTCTTTTGGAGTTCATGTACTTAAATTCTTTTTGATGCAAACAGCTACAGAAAAATAAATTGATTCTGTAGACAGGGTCCTAGGTATACGACTCCCGCAAAGCTCTTCTATCATGACATGCTAATTTAAGTCTAGACATTCTTTTCTTAACATTCAGAGAATCAGTTTGTACGTGTTCATATATGATTGAGGTGAGGGACACATTTTGATAAAAGGTTAAAAAAAAAAAAAATGAACTTTCATCAAGTATTGTAGATAAAAATAAAAAACAAAAAAGATATTCACTGAGATAAAAATATACAAAACTGTTGCAACATTTTTCAGATCACTAGTCTTCTTGTTACTGAGTTGAAGGCTATGTGAGAAAATGGGTTTGTCATTTATTTTGCATCTCTTACCAGGGATTGTATTTATTCTTAGTGGTTTATGAGACCAGCATGTGAATAACTGCACTGCTATGTTTTTAATCACAAATCTTATTCAAAAAACTAAATAATGAATCTATGTTTCTTAATTGTTTGGGGTATTTAATATTAATGTATAAAAAAATGAATAAAAACAAAAAAATTTAACATCTAATTTTTACTGACTCTTTGTGCATACATGTGATCTCTCAAAGGTTAATGGCAGAAGTCCACACAACATTTTGTGCTGTCCAAAATCCCCCAATTTTTTTATTAGTACCTCCTAAATTAACCAAAGTCTGAAAGAGATGGGGGCCAGTGGAAAAGTGTTAAAAAATGTCCTTTAGAGGTACAGAATTTAAAAGTAGCTTGTGACTAGGTAACTTTGAAAATTATTTCTTTAATGCAGCCATTCTAAAGTGCCTTGTTTTTTTTTTTTCCTCCTTCTCATGGCCTATGCCCCCCCGGCCTCCTTGCTAATCATGAATGTTATGCAAATATAGGAAGTGGGGGTGGGTGGGAATAAATGCAGATTTATTATTGAACAACATGAAAAATTCCAATATACTGGACAAAACTTTCTAAGAGTTTATGAAATGAAACTTTTTTTTTTTACAGTTGAGCTTTGATACTGTCCTGTACTATGTTATTTTTTTTTTTCTTTTAATTTTTGAAAATAATAAAATTATTGTATATGTGGGCAAAATAGTAAATCTAGCTAGCCCCATCTGTGCTGTCGTTAATTTTTAACTTGCAATTTCCTTTGTTCAATTACCTTGGCTGCATCAGTAAACCTGCGGTTGGTGGTAAAATACAATAAATAACAGAATTCACTGATTATTGCTGTTTCTTGTATTTTATGACTAGTGCACTCCAAGCACTCTCATGCTATTGTCAAAATTGCTTCAATAGTTTTTTTTTTTTTTTAACTTTCATTGCTGTATAACAAAGGAATTGTTTCCAAAATTATTTTTTTTAAATTCATATTAACTCATTCGATACAAATTGCATTGATAACCATCCCCAAAGATAAGAAATTAACTTTTTGGAAACAGAAACATAACTCTATATTTTAAGTAATGTCAAAATGAATTTTTTTTTCCAAATGAAAAAAAAAAAGTTACAGTTTTTAAAAATTTACCAAAAATTAGAGCATTATCCAAATTAAATAAATTTATCAATACTTATTAATGAATGAATTGGTTACTGAACAGGTCATTCTAATAAAATGAACTGTTACAGTATTTTGTAAACATTTTTTTTTGTGTTATTTTTGATACATTATGAATAGTGTTTTTAGTTTTCTGTCTATATTTCTGAGATCTGGCATTGTAACTATTTACATTGTTTGGACTGCTGTACTCATCTTTATTGCCATATTCACAACATTTCGGCTGTTATACACTCTGGTTTTCTTCAGAACCCTTTATTCTGTTCTAATTCCATGTGCCACATGCTAATTCCCCCTAAGTAACTAAACTCTCCAAGTTTTGTTTCCTCTGCTGTGGCCAGGTATTGAACTCATAACTCTTTGGGTCAAGTCACTTTTTGGATCACTCAACCACACTGGGCCACCTGTCCTTATATTTTTTTTTTTTTTTAGTTTTGTTAAGAAAAATCCCTGAAGATATTTTAGTAATAAAATTTTGCCATATCAAATCAAAATTTAACCTGAAGTTTTACAAAATTCACTACCCCCCAAAAATAATTTTTCTTGAGAGTTGGTGCGCTTGCATTTTGGTTCCGGTTTGACAGGGGGGGGGAGTCTACAATGGATATTTATTTTGGGAAAATTTACTTGTAATTTTTTCAATGTGAATTTGACATTCTTCTGATTGCTGATGACAATAGAGATCTTATTCATTAAATAAAGTGTTTGAAGAATGGAAAATGTAAAGTTTGATGCAATTTTCACATAAAACATATTTTTTGAAGGATTTTAGTTATTTTCACAACAGTTAGATTGTTTTTTTTTTTGTTTTTTGTATGGAAGATTAAATAGGAAAAAAATTATGACTCCCCTCCCTCTCAGGAGATTAATAATCAATATTGAGTTTTAGCATTCCCCTCCTCTACCTTTTTTTTTTTTTCTTTCTTTAAGAACTTTCTTTAGTTTTAAATTTTAATATCAGAATGATTATAAACACCTCACTGGGTTCAATTAAAAACAGGTAAAAATTCTGAAAGAGAAAGGAAATTGTTTATTCAATTGTACTAAAATAGTTTCATAAGCGTATAATAAAAAAATATATTCATGAACTATATATAAGGTTAAAGATAATTTATTTTAAACTTAATTTCTTCATTATTGCTCTGCTGATGTTCCATATTTCTTTAATTTTTTTTTTTAAGAATGGAAGTAACAAACTGTTGTTGTCCTATGATATCACACTTATCACGCGTAAATAAACGTTATTTTCAATACTTTTTAAGCAAAAAATAAGCATTACTTTTTGACAAAATCCAGTTAATTAATCATTAAATCTATTAATTTACTTTGAAACACATCTCTAGGATAAATATTGGATTTTTTAAGAAATTTTTTAAATTTATTATTTACGTTTTTCGTTTTATTGGTGGTTCGATGATGATTGATTAGTGAACAAAGAACATGAAGGTTTCAAAAATTTCTAAAAACTCTATTTATATATGTACGTGCATTTATTTTTCTTTTCACACAGATTAGCTTTTGGGGTATTGTATATTTCAAATAAAAGCAAAATTTTACTAAGACATTTTAAATGCGTTCTCTTTCTCTTTTATTTTAGCTAAAATTTTGGTGGTACAACTCTTGGGATAATTTTTTCTTTTTTTTGACTTTTTCGATAAAAGTGGATATGATTTTTATGCTGACTGATTTTTACTTAAATTATTTGTTTATCATAGTTTAATATCAGTCACTATTCAAATAAAAAATTCACGTTAAATGTCGGCGAGTTAGTCCCTCCCCTCCTCCACAAAAAAAAAATAATAAAGATTAAAAAGAAATATTGTCAAGTTTAAATTAAAAAAAATAAAATTTTATTTTAAAGAAACTTCGGTCCTTATCTCATACATGTCGGCATTTTGATGAAAAGGACTTCTAATTCATCAATTGGGCATCTTACTAAATATATAAATTGTGTGCCCTTGAAAATTGTAACTACTAGTCATAAACCATTGTGTATTCCCTAAAAAATTAGTCATTTCGTAAGAAGCCTCCCATTTTTCGCACACTATTGAATTACATTTCAAGGGACGTCACTCTAATGTAACCCTGAGCCGTTGCCCTTTTAAATTTAGAAATAAGCATTTAATTTTTTATTTCTTTGTTTTTTGTGGAATCACAGAGATTTTAAATCTCTTTTACTTATTGTTTTACCATTTATACCAGGTAACATTGCCTTGTGTATCTTTTGTCTCCGTAATAAACCCACGAAGATCTCCCCTTCCACATTTTTTTAAAGCCCAACAAAAATGATTGGTTGAATTTTGCTTTTACTACTTTTTACATAGTTTGTATTGATAAAGTTTTTGTTTTGGGTTTATTCAAAACGGTGATTTGAGTTGCTAAAAAAAAAGCCTAAAAAAAAGGCTTCCTTTTCCCTTGAAAATAAAAATAGAATCCCCCCCCCCAAAGAAAGCAAACAAATATTCAATAATTTTGCTTTTATTATTTTTTCCGATCTAAAAATTATTTTGACGATAGAAAAAAGGGGGATTATTAAAAATCCATCGTCATTGTGAAAGTAATTTTTTTTTCATTTGAAGGTCATAGGACAATTTTTTTTTTTTTTTTGGTTAATAGCAGAGAAAACACACACACACAATTAGGGACAATGGACTTGCAAAATTTTCTGGTAGTAAGTAAAACCTATTTCATCACAAATAATAGAACATTCTCCATTTGGTATAGTTTTTTTTTTTGTTTGTTTTATTTTAAATATTTTACGTCGTCTTAAAAAATGTTTTAAATCGTACTTCCAATATGAGCCTATAAAAAAAATAGATAAGATTTTGTAGGTTCTTTGCAAAGAAGCAAATGTCAAAACAACAACGAAAAAAAAAAAAAACAAAAAAACGTGACTTCATTCTCGAGTGAGGAACAAGGAGATATTTATGACACATTTGTATGCAAGTCCGATTTTTCTCTTGGTCCCTCTTACCTCGAACCAATACCCCACCCCATGTTAAAAAGAAAGAAAATCTAGTTAGTACTGATTACAAAAAGTAAGTCGTGATAGAACAAATAACGTTTAACTTTATTATTTTTAAAAACGTTATTCAAATATTGAACATAGTAGTAATTAAATTCTCAAAATAGTCCCCTACTTAATATAGGGAGGAGCAGGTGAGTGGGGGGACGAGGGCCTACGTGACCCTAACTCTTATGAAAGCCGGGTTACTTCATCATCAACATCGTCGTCGTAGAGAGAGTGTCTTTCCCTCCCGTCCTTTCTTCATGTGCGATGCGTTCGCTTTCCATTGGTAGAGAAACAGGGGAAAAGGCGTGTGACTTGTTCGGATGTATATATAGATCACTAACTTTCTCTCTCTCTCTCTCCCCCGCTCGCCGTCCGGGTCTGTCTGGGCTTCTCTTTCCTCCACCCTCATTTGAAACATACACACAGACAAGCACATGACAGTCTCTTGTTGTTGTTGTTGTTGTTGTTGTTTAGGGGCTACTAAGACAACTGCTGTGTAGAGAACCAACACTAGAAAAAGAGAGTTTGCTGGTAAAGAAATCGACACATTGTTAAAAATTGAAAGACAAGAAAATAATTGTTGTTTAATACTTAATTGAATTTTACAGCAAAATCACCACGCAACGAACAGTTTATTAAATTATTGTTTATATCTGGTAAGCAATATTTATTTTATTTACTTTTAAATTATTTTTAGGGAATATTAGAATAAAAAAAATGCAGTAATTTATTTGCACAAATGATCTTTCCTATATTTAAAAAGTGCATGTTAAACTTTATTTATATCTGTTTCGATGTTAAAAGAAAGAAAACCCGACCTCATTCCTTTTTCTAAGGCTTGTAAATAAAAAGTTGGGAAGGTCGACAATCCGAATTTGTAAATTTTAGGGTCGTTTTGTTACTGTTTAGAAAAGAGTATCATTTCCCTCCTGTATTTTCTGCCCCTTTTTTGTGTTAAATTTTAATCTCACTCGAAGGAAATCCTCATTTGAATGTTAATTTATTTTTCGGTTACAATGGTGTTTACAAACATTGAAACATGTAAACAAAAATGTGGAATGAATTAGCATTTCAACATTACGCAGCCGACTGAGGTCCTCTCTTCGTCAGTTCGCCTCCTTTCTAAATTTGGCAAATTAATAATAATTAAAAAAAAAAAAAAACATACAAAAGGACAGGCTTGTTTGCTGAATAAACAAATCTGATTTGTGTTGTTTATTTGGGTTAAGAGTCGAAGGACCTCTTTAGACTCCATTTGTTTTCTCGATTAAAAAAAAATGTTGTGTCGAAATTTTCCAGTATTTAAAAGGCGACAAAAGGAAAATCTTGCTTGATTTATTTCATACGTTCGCTATCATTGTCGATGTGAAAGTGATAAAAATGTTTCTTTTTCTATCTTGTACAAGTTGCGTGCGTGGATAAATTTGAATAAATGCATTTTTAAAAAAAAAAATTAATGCGTAGTAAAAATAAATAAAGCACTTTACTTTTTTCTTCTTTTTTTTTTTCTTGAGAAAATAATGCAGATTTTTTTATTTTCACTTGTTAAAAATGTTAGAATTTTAATTTATTTCCTAGTTTTTATTTCATTTTCTTTAAAAAAAAAAAAGTTTCATGTGATTTCCAGTTAGAGATGTTTATTATTCTGAATAACTCCTTCAGTATTCACTCTCTCCCAACAACGTCGACTCTATAGTATCAACCTTTAGTTTTTAGTACTTATTTTTATTATAATTTAACATTTTACAAAAATTAATTAATTTCTACTTGCAATACAAGTGGTGAGAGATAATGCCGATTAATTAAACTAAACAAAAAAACTTTGCTGATTTTACAAGTATGACTTTTTTTTTTTTTTTGGTCAAAGAATCGATTTTTATGTTCAGAACATTGTCACCAACCTTGGGCCTGATGGCCAGCTTTCTTCTGTTGAATCATCCACGTTGGCTGGATATCGTAGATTTTACTTTTATATAAAAAAATTGCTTTCCAAGGAAGGTTTATTTACTTAAGAAGACTTCCTTTAAAATATTTTCAGTTTAATTTGGGCTTAAACAAGTCTTTCATTTTTTGTTTTTCATTTATTTTTTTTTGTGTGTATGTGCGGTGAAACCTTTTTTTATTTTAATTGCTTTGCTTACTACTAAGCCAAAGAAGGTGTTTTTTTGCTTTGATCTTTGTAATGAGTCATTTGCATTTTATGATCATTTAAAACTTAAAACGCACAAAAAAAAATCCAATCTCGTGTTTTGTGTTTCGATCTCTTTTTTAGTTTGAAAAAATTTCTGTTGGTGTACTTTTTATTGTTTTAAGTCTTGTTTGGAATTGGATTCTTCATCCCCCCCCCACACGACGAAATAAAACAAAAAATCTTTCTTCTTCTCTAAATGACCGCAACCACACAATGTGACGGGCGAATAATATCTATTATTTAAATTTTGTTGCTTTAAACATGTATGTGTTTTTAACCATAAATATTTAATTAACGCTTCATTTTTTTTTTTTTTTTTTTTTTTTTTACTTTTAAATTTTTAAGACTCAAATTTTTTTAAGTTAATTAATTGTTAACTTTTTTTTTTTTTAGATGAGACATTTAATTTAAGGTTGCATTCTTGTTCTCCTTAAACACGCACTCTCGTTTTTTCAATTTTTTTAAATTCATTAACAGTAACTCAGTTAAAATAAAAGAAAACTTAATTCCTTTTTTTTTTTTTTTTTTTTTTTTTTAAGGTTCACTTTGAGCCTTAACGAACCAATGCCATTTTATTTAAAGTTTAAATGACATTGGTTTATTTAAATTTTAAACTACGGTTTAGTAGTTAAATGCCAAAAAGATTGTTGATCGGGTGGGTAAGGACGAGAGGGTCTCATCAATTGCTTTTATTTGCAGTCTCTCTCAAATACTGTCAAAGGTTAAATTAAAAAGTTTTTTTTTTTTTTTTTTTAAATGACATCATGGTATAAATTACGTATTATTATTTGAAGCAAAGATTTTGGAGACGCTGGCTAAGTTTGGCATTGGATTTCTCATGATTATGAAGTTATTTAATTATCGTTAAAAGGAAAGGATTAGTTTGGAAGTGAAGCTATTTATTTTTAGATGCTTTTATTTTCTTTGCTGAAAAAAACTATTAAAAATAAAAAGCAGTTTTGTTTAACATTTGCAAGAATTGCATTCATTATGATGTCATAATTGATTGAATAATTAATAATTTCTAAAAAGCTGAATAATTTGTTTTTTCTTTTTTAGACACTTGCTTAGTAAAAAAAAAAAGATTTTTCTTTCACGAATATAAATTTGATCGATCTTGAAAAAGTCATTTTTCCTTTCTTTTTTTTTCTTAGACCATCTGTCGGTACAGCAATACATTGCTTTTTTTTAAATGTTTTTATTATTATTTCTTAATCTTTTTTGTTGCAGTAAAATTAAAAAGAAAAAAACAACGAATTGTGAGGATACTACTTATAACGAGGACTTTATCAATTTAAATTGCGCACATGTCGAAAAAAAGAATGTATTCGTCTATTTGCTTGCTGTTAGAAAAATGACGAATTTATGTAGTAACCTGTAATTAAGTCCTAAAAAATAAACAAAGCGCCTATTATTTGTCAAAAGAACTTCCTTAATTTTTTATTTAATTTTTTTACACGTTGCATTTATAAAAATTGGGGCAACTGAAAAACATTGGATTACTTACATTTTTACAAATAACAGGATTTTATGCTGTACTGAAATAATTTTTTATTTTTATGTGCATTATTTTTTATTCATATTCTACGCATTTTTTTTTTTTTCCTTAAACTGACTACTTTTAGTTTTACTTTTATTTAAGACTTTGTTGTTCGTTAGACGACGAACTTCTCAGGTCTTGCTTTGTTCTTAAATGGGTATTTTTTTCCCGGACATTATTTGGCTCATATTGTCAATAAGCAGGCAAAAACTGTTGACAACTTAAACAAAAATAACGTGTAGATTTCTTATTGGGCTATTAATTCTCATTCATTGAGAAAAAGAAAGGCCATTTTCAATAATTTAGAAACAAAAATAAATAAATAAAAAATAAAATAAAAAAAATACTATATTGGATTATTTTTTTTTTTTTTGACTCTGGATGGTGTCCTAAATATTCTTAGAAAATGGATTAACGATAAAGAACTTGAGATTGTCGATTCTTAAAATATAAACTGACTACAAATTTCATTTAAGGAACTTTTTAGTTTTTAATAACGGAAACAACACTAACAACACTAACAATTTATCATTAAAATGGCAATGCCATCCAGAATGCAGGCAACCATAGCTCTCCACAGCATCACTTTAAAAATTCTTTTTTTATTTCTTTGTAAAGATAGTGGAGTGGTTACTCGTGGCTTTCTCCAGTCTTGAATTCAAATTTCTCCTAGCTAGAGACCGACTCTTTACAGAGAAGAAAAAAAATGAGTTCATACTTAATGCCTAGGCATTTGTGCGAAAATGAATGCCATTAAAAATATCTTCGATTTCACTAGGTGGGGGAAATGGAAATTTCAAAATAAATCATTTTTTTATTTTTATTTTGACATGATGACCTTCATTTATGACCGTTCATTCCCCCCCCCCCTGTAAAAGTGGTTTTAAAAGCCACCCGTATTTTGTCGCTATTATTATTATTAGGGAGGTGTTTGTTGTGAGTGAAGAAGGGATTTATTTTATCAAAATGATTGCATCAGCCTCTCTAGTTATTTGTTTTTAGACAGAGACTTTAAACATTTGAATTTTATTTTTAACGTATCAACAGTCAAGATAGTAAAATAATCGTTTTTACTTTTTAGTCTCACTCTCTCAATCTGAAAAAATAATTTCTAATTCAACATGTCCTTGTAGAAAATATATAAAAAAAAAAAAAAACTGACTAGGAAAATAATATTTTTTTTATCCCTCTGCTTATTCTCTCTTCTTCTCCCTACCACTTTCTCTCGCCCTCTGTTAATTGCATTCTGCCTTTTTTTTTTTTTTTAATGAATGACATAGTTGAGATCACCTTGATCTTTATGTGACTTTGTAATGTAATATTTTTTCATTTGTTTTTTTTTTTTTTTTTTTTTAAATAACGCTGACTAGTTTCAGTTTTGTGAATTGCAAATCTGTCTCTAGCTAAGAAGTGAAATCGTTTATAAAAGCTGTGTGTTCAGTCTTCCACTCACTGGTACAAAGGCCACCACATCTCACCCCCCCACCCCCTCTCACTCTCTTGGTGGAGGGTGGGTATAGTCAGAAGAGGATGAAGTGTTACTATTATAAGAAGGTACTGGGGATTTTTCTGAAACATAAGCTTACCTTTACAATAAGAAGACGTATTCAGTAATTTACTCAAATAACAAAAGGCAAAAATTATTAAGAAGTACAGAGGACAGGAAATTGTGGAGAGCCATGATCGCCAACGTCCTGAAAGAACTTGGCACAAAGAAGAATTTTCTCTAAGTTTGAATATGGCATAAGGCTCTATTTATGAGCTCCTTCTGAAATCAGAACTGAACTTGCCATGGTTCACTTACAATAGTGAAACTGAAACAAAAATTTGTGTGAACTTGTATGCTTCTCACACACACAATATATATATATATATATATATGATGCAATTGAATAACAAACTGGAAAAACTCCTAAAAAGACTTC